AGAAAAAAAAAAAAAATTGAAAGAAAAAAAAAAAAAAAAAAAAAAAAAAAGTACCCCAGGGTCGCCCGAAGACGGCAGTGCAGCTCGCTCTAGCTACCTCGCAGCTGATGAGCCTATGTTGGTTCATTCTTCTTCTCAGACTTCTTCTTCTCGGCTTGGCTTGGCTTGGCTTGAGAATCAAATCCCTGCCTGCAACAACATTACAATAAAACTAATGGCCCCTGCTGTGGATCTGATATTGTTGGTGAGAAAAGAAGGGGCGCTTTGAAGCTTTTAGAATGAAGTGAAAAGAGAGGTTCGTTCTTATCTAAAAGCCATACTCCGGCGGGGCAAAAGGATAGATTTAAGTAGTTCTTTGATGATGTCGCTAGTTAAGATCCAAGCGCTGTTCCTTGACAATGGATCTGGATTTCCGGATGCAACCTTCTCCTTTTTCTTTTTGGCCTTCGGCTGTTGATTGTCTCGCCAGAAGCCAGCAAGTAGCGCAGCCAGCGAGCATCAATCAATCAGCTCACTAGAAAGGAAGGAATAAAAAAAAAGCCAAGAGAGGAGCAAACCTTTGAGCTTGGCTGCTGCCTACAGCACGACACATTTATAAAGCGACCTTCGTACGCGTGTATTCCGCTTCTTGCTTTGTTGTTTGCCTTTACTTGCTTGCCTTGGTGCTCGCTCGCTCGCTCCCTTCCACTAGAGGAGAGTCCCTGTGAGAGAAGGAGAGCGTAAGTTAGCAGTCGCAGTGAGAAACAACAAAAAGGAAAGAGAACTTCTTGCCTAGATTGCATTGTCGGTTTCATTCCTGTGAGAAGCGACCCGGTCTCTCGGCTCCACTTTTCTCTCATCATCATCACCGTAGCCTCGTCATGGACTTGCGCCTCAACCAACTTTACAACAATTCCAAACGATCTCCGCCACCGCCTTCGTCGTCTTCACCGCTGCCACTCGACAGTTACGAACACCACGCAGAAGCAGCGGCGGCGTCAGCGGCAGCGGCAGCAGCAGCCAGGTTCTACTCGTCGGACCGTCCCACTCCCCCGTCTCACAGAATGCTGGATCAACACACGGGCAGCACCTTCATTCCAATGGCTGCTGACTACGGCCACTTCTGCGACACCGCTCTGAAACAGGCAGGAGCTGCAGGTCCGTCATCAGTGATCTCACAAAGCCAAAGGAATTCTCGCAAGAGTTTACTCACCTGGCTGCCTTTTCTCGCTTTTGCAGGAGGAGACTTCCACCACGGCCACTTCCCTTTCACGGCCTCGCAATGGCTGGAGCTGGAGCACCAGGCGCTCATCTTCAAGTACATGCTGGCAAGAGCACCTGTCCCGGCGGAGCTCATCATTCCCATCCGGAGGGCCTTCTCCCTCTCACCCAACAGTGAGTGTTTTTATAGATTTCCCTGATCTCCCGCGCCTCTTTGTTCGCTTTCGTTTCTCCCTGGCCACCGACATTGGCCTATCTTCATCATCGTCTCATCCTGTGGGTCCTTGGAACAGTTCAGTCACATTTTAGAGAGCCGCACCGCACTGTGCCGCTACATGTTTTTCTGTTCCCAAGACTTGCGCCACCCACGGGAAAAACAA